AAATATTTCAAGTATCAGATATGTCACAATGATTATGTCAATAAATTCAAAGAAATGCAAACATGGCTGAAGCACCGACGGCAAGACGTTGAAGAAAAACTGCATGCTCAACTTAGGCAGCCTGGGAAGATTGCAAAGAAGGAAGTTGAAGCTTGGCTAGAGAAAGCAGACCAAGAAACTGCAGAAAAAGTGGTTGAAGATCTAATCTGCAAAGGGGGTTGTTTCACATATATTTGCTCCTCAAGAAAGCTCGATAAAAGGACTCAATCTACTGAAGGAACATTTAAGCAAGGAGAAAAGTACACTAGTGCTGGTGAGAGTTTGGTTGAAGATACTCCCTCAATTGAGTATTGGGCAACTGTATTTAAAGAAAGGCAAGAGCAGCTGAAGCTCCGACAGAAAGTCATTGAAGGAAAATTGGAGACTCAACTTATGCAGCATGGAAAGATTGCAAGCATGGAAGTTAAAGACTGGTTGAAGAAAGTAGGCCAACAAATTCCCATAAAGGTTGAAGATCTAATCAACCAAGGGGGATGGTCCTCTGTATCCAACCTCGGGAGAAAAATTGAAGAATTGAAGCAAATATTTGAGCAAGGAGAAAAGTACACTAGTGCTGATGAGAGTTTGGTCGTAGATACTCCCTTAATTGAGTATTGGGCAACTGTATTTGAAGAAAAGCAGGAGAGGCTAAAGCACCAAAAGGAAGACGTTGAAGCAAATTTGAAGACTCAGCGTATGCAACCTGGAAAGATTGCAAGGAAGGAAGTTGAAGAGTGGCTAGAGAAAGCAGGCCAACTGATTGGCATAAAGGTTGAAGATCTGATCAGCCAAGGGGAATGTTCCTCTCCATCTAACCTCGGGAGAAAAATTGAAGAATCGAGGCAAATACTTGAGCAAGGAAAAGAATTCACTAATGCTGGTGTGATTTTGGTCAGAGAGGATCACTCAATCAAAGGATTTCCACTTCTTGTTGAAAAATGTAGTGGCAGGGATGATATACAAGAAAAAATTCTGGAATGGTTGAAGGGAGACAAGGTTACAAGAATTGCAGTATCGGGAATGGGTGGCGTGGGCAAGACAACAATTATGAAGAATGTCCACAATCAACTGTTGAATGAATCCAAATTTGAGAATGTTATTTGGGTAACAGTGTCAAAAGACTTTAACATTACTGTCCAGCAGAAAAAGAAGTTTGATATTCTCCAGTTTCAGAAAAAGATTGCACGTAGCTTGAAACTAGAACGAGAG